GACTTGATCATGCAGGAAGAGAGCTCAGAGGCTGTTTCAGAGCTAACGCTGACTCCACTCGTACGTTTCCTCAGTTGTCCTCAACTGTCGTGTCTTTTTTTTTTTTTTTGTCTTTTAAGCACGCATGCCAAATTCTTTAGTGCATCAATGGAGGACTGTTTGTCGTCACGTGTCATGAACTTGTATCGCATGTGCAGTAGAACGTCTGCTCCCACGCCCCCAACCCCTACCCTCAGTAGATAATACAATGGCACCTTGACTTATGAGTGCCCCAACTTAACTCATTCAGTACCAGCCAATTCTGCACCAAGTCTGAAAAGACGTTTAAAAACGTCTTTGGGAGTGAATGAGTTAAGAGTAGTTGTGACAGGGTTGATTATAATTTGCGTCGACTAAAATGGATGCCTTCGGGCTCGCATTGGGAATGTCGACGGCTGTCACCTTGTTTTCTGAGTTCGGGTCACGTGACATTGTCAATGCGAGCCCGAGGACACTTTGATTCTTCTTCCATAACCGTCTCAGTCGTGAGGGCACAGAAGATGAAAATTTATTAAAAACCATGACGGGTTTTTCTCGGCGGTCGGAACGGATTAATGGCATTTCAGTTCATTCGTTAGCAGCTTGGCCACAGAACAAATTCAACCTGTCAAGTCAAGGTACCACTGTATCTGTTGTTGTGTCAGATTTTCGGAAGCGGCGCCTGACCGCTTTGCTCTCCTGTTGTCCCCTCCGACACGCAGGAGGAGCTGAAGAAACTCTACTCCCAGCTGGAGATTTATAAGAGGAAGAAGATGCTGGCCAACAACCCCCATCTGCAGAAGAAGCGAAGCTCCAAGAAGGGCCTCGGACGCTCCCTGATGAGACGCATCACCGAGATCCCCGAGTCGGTGCACCGCCAGTGCAGCCGTGAGGAAAAGGACGGCGGGGAGCACGGCAGCAATCGGAACAGCATCTGCGTCCTGAAGAAAAACCCCTTCGATCAAATGCACCCCGTCAAACCGGCCAAGGACGAGACCCTGAAAAACAAGGTGTTCTCCTTGAAGAAGTCACACAGTAGCTACGATCACGTCCGAGACCCGAGCGAAGACTCGAGCAGCTCGGCGACGGACAAGACGGAGGTGAGTGCCATGGAAGGCTCCCTGCTGGATGCCCTAATGGGCAAAAAACTGGTCAAGAAAAAATCCCGGGAGAACCTCAACGCTCCCAGCGAGTCCACGGAGTCAGTGCCTCTGGTCTGTAAATCGGCCAGCGCCCACAACCTGACCGCCGACAAGAAACCCCTCCACCCTCGAGCCTCGATGCTGCAGAAATCCCTCAGCGTCATCGCCACCGCCAAGGAGAAGACGCTGTGCTTGGCCGGAAAAACCCAAAGTGCCGAGGATGGCCCCAAGAAGGCTCCGCCGAGAAGCAAAGATGAGAGCGAATCCAAGAACCTCAGCGCCAAAAGCAGAAACGTCAAACAACCTGCCGTCTCCTCCGATCCGGTCAAGGGGAAAGACCTTTACGATGTCTCCGAGGTGTGTCCCTGGGAGGTGGGAGACCTCCCGACACCTTCGGAGAACAAGGTCCAAAAACATGTGTCGATAGCGCCGGAAGAAACCACCACGGTACACGGGGGCAACATCAAGGGAGGCAAAGCCCAAAAGCAGACGCTCTCGGATCCGAATTCCTCCGGCATCAAACATTCCAAGGAAGCTCAGTGGACCAACACCGCAAGAGCGGAAGTCTGTCCTTGGGAGGCGGGAGGAACCGAGAGCCAAAGCGGTCCGGTTTCCAGTCCAAATAAGACGGACCGGGAACCTCCGTCCAAAGCGGAAAACACCAAAAGCAACCGGGCCGAGGTTTGTCCTTGGGACTTTGGAGAGCCAACGGCAGAGATTTTTCCCGCAAAGACTGTGGACACTCCAGGGAGGAACGCAATCCCAGATGTCTCTAAGACGGCTAGCTCGCTTAAAGCCGAAGTTTGCCCATGGGACAATCCGGCGTCCCCTAGTTCTGAGGGCCTGCCCAGCCCGTCTCGGAGTTCCAAACCCAAGGAATCCCCGTCAAAAAAGAAGGGAAGTCGATCCACTCGGACGCTTGAGAAGGACAAATCAAAAGACGGCCAAGGAGAGAAGAGTCGAACGACGGCCAAGGACAAGAGTAAATCTCCCGAGAAGCGACAGAAATTAGCCGAGGTTTGTCCCTGGGACGCCGACGGTCATCAGGAGGCGGCCGTCGTCGAGAAACGCAAGAGCGCAAACGTCGGGGCGGCCAAAGTCAAGAAGGCTGAGGTTTGTCCGTGGGACTTTGAAGAAGTGTCGGAGAAAAGCGGCTCGGACAAATCCGCTGTGGCCAGGAAGAGCAATCCCAATCCGGCGAAGAAGGCCGACGTTTGTCCCTGGGACTTTGACGACAAGACGGCGTGACGCTCGGCCTAAACGGACCAGTGATGCCCTCGGAGGGTGGCGGGGTGGCGGGGGCGGTCATCTGACATTTGACTCTTCGTAGGTGACTTATACAAAAAAAAAAGTCAATTCTGTTCCACGAGTTGCCTTCCTTAACGACGTTTGGTTCCTGTTTTGCGTACTTTTGACGACCACACCTTTTACAAACGAGACCGATGAGCATTCCAGACGATCGCAGGGAAATCCTGAATCCTACTCGTAGACCAATTATGCAAGTTTCCATTCTTCACCGAAGCAGTTTTGCGTGTCTGTACCCGAACGTCACTCATGCGACGACTCAGACGAGTTGTTTGATGAAGTCACAGAGGAATTACGAAAACTCAAGAAGATTCAAGGCCGCGCAGAGGGACGTCGGTCATCAGCGTTTCGGAATCCGGTCACGTCTAAAGCACTTTAGCCAACTCCATTCACCGACTCTTCATCTTCTCACATCCTTTCTTCTCTTCTCGTTTGCTATCGATTCAATTGACGTTCTGATGTACTGTATGTGCCTAAAGCGAGGAACGAGCCTCCTCGCCTCATCCTTTCGTCCCGACGCCATCGCGAGCCAGCGGCGTCCTGCTCGGCAACAAACGTCAATAATCGTGTCCTGCTATGCCAACCTAAAACAAACATCCGTGGGATCGTGTTCAACGCAAACATACCTTTATTTATTTTATTTATTGTATTTATTTATTGATTGATTGACGTCTTGCAAAGAAGAAGCAGCACTGCCATGTTGACTTGTACTGCCCCCGGTGATCGCCGGTCAGCCGTACGTTTTTAAAAAGAAGTAGCCCTATTTTGGAAATGCGTCGTCATTCTTTTGATTTCGACGCTTGAGATTTGCTGTCTGACGTTGAGACGTCGATGGACCGCCATCAACGTTTGAAAATAAATAAATAAATGCATGGTAAGCGGTTAGGAATCATTTAAAAAAGGACCGCCATCAACGTTTGAAAATAAATAAATAAATAAGTGCATGGTAAGCTGTTAGGAATAATTTGAAAATATATATATATATATCAATAAATGAATGACGAGCCGCTGTCCCAAAGGACGACTTCGGCCCCGCCGTGTTTCCAGATGAGAGCGACAACACGTAATAATGCAGCGGTATTTCGTCTTTTACATTCTGGGAGGGTGCCAACATACGCACGCGCACACGTAGACGTCGACTTCCCTTGTAGCGCCTCATCCACCAATCAGACCGAAGAACCCCGTTGTCAATCAAAATCTGACCACGCCTCCTCTTGCTACCACTACTACTCCTACTATTACGAGTACTACTACTACTACTACTACTACTACTACTCTTACTATACAATGCTGTAACGTCGTAAATCTTGTGGCTTCTGCATGAATTCGAGAAATTAGTCGGACCAATGTTTCACTGCCCTGGATAGAAAAAAAAAGATGTTTATGGACTGTTACGAGTTGTATAGTGAGTGACTGTGTCTCTGACCCACTGTATTATGTGCTTGTTGTGACGACGACAAGCTTATAGCATCCATATATGGCAAAACTTTGGTAGATTTCTATTGTGTTCTTATTGTGATAGCATGTACAGGAAAATAAAAAGATTACCTCCTCTGCAATAAATATTTATATGAAAAAAAAAATGTGGATGCCGTTCCTCATATCCAGATAGAAAGTCGAGACAAAAGGGGAGAAACAAAGCGACGCTGTTGCAAAGAGCAAAAGGAAAGTCACGGACGAGTTTTAATGTGACGAGAAAATTCCAAACAAGGAAACAATACGAATGTGGAAAATTAGGATTAAAAAAAGTCGTTCAAGAACAAAGTTGTAATATTATGAGGGAGAAAAAAAGTCATACTGTGACAAGAAAAAAGTCGGCCCAAAGAAAAGTCAACATGTTACGAAAAAAAGTTGAAATGTAACAAGAAAAAAAGTCGTAATGACAAAAGTGGTACATTTCTGATAAAAAGGTTCTGCAGCACGTGACGAGAATATTAAGCAAAAAAAAAAAAAAAGTCATTTTGTGTGCTAGTGCTCAAGTCTAATCTCCACAATGTTGATGATGATGACGATGATGATGGTGACAACAACAATTAAGACGAGCAGACCCTTTTTAAAGTGTCGCGCATCCAACAACCATCGGCGTCTTGGCCACCTTCCCGAAATGCTTTTACGTCGACTCTTTTGGAAGCGACGCCAAGAAAGGGCAAATAGAAAAAAAAAAAAAAGTCATTTTGTGTGCTAGTGCTCAAGTCTAATCTCCACAATGTTGATGATGATGACGATGATGATGGGGACAACAACAATTAAGACGAGCAGACCCTTTTTAAAGTGTCGCGCATCCAACAACCATCGGCGTCTTGGCCCCCTTCCCGAAATGCTTTTACGTCGACTCTTTTGGAAGCGACGCCAAGAAAGGGGAAATAGAAAAAAAAAAAAAGAAGATGTCAGCCACTTTCAAAATTACAAATTATTTTTATTGAATACCTTCACCTAAAATGAACTTGCACACCTCTCCAACGTTGGATGAATGGACAACAATGGGTGAATACGAAATGATGCCAAAATTCCCACACGGACTTTTTTAAAAACTATTCTTGTTACACTGACTGCTCACCTTTTGTCATCACTTTTCAATCGGGTTATGGTCATTACAAGCAAAAGACGCCACCGAAGCAGCTCTTTTACATTGTTGCACGGTCGGCGCTTTGGCATCGAGAAAAAAGCAAGGTAAGCGGCGGCACAGCATCGCAAACATATTGTTAGCATTGATTTGGGAGGGGGGAAAAAATCAATAAGGTGACTGCCAAGCCAAAGACAAGAGATATGACAACATCTATTCAGTTTGGAAAGAAGATACAGTATGTATGGCAGAGAACTATATTCTGTATATATAAAATGTGTGTGTGTGTGTGCGTGTGTGTGTGTGTGTGTGTGTGTGTGTGCGCGCGCGCGCGCGTATGGGGATGATGGACGGATGACAAAATGCACGTGACCAATTTCTTGGTTGTTTTTGCTGCAGTGAATGAGGGGGCGTCACTGGCGGCCATCTTTGTAGTCTTTCTTACGAGGCCTTGCTCCTCATATTTCCGGCATGACTATTTTGAAGCTAGCACACGCGCGTGCAGTGAGTCATAACTGTCCATTTGGTGAGAGTGGTGGGGTCGGGGGGGCGGGGGGGGGTATGTATGAGGCTGTGAGCTCATCTCTTTTATAAGCACTTAAGTGTGTCAGATAACACCTGAGATTGTGCTAGTTGCTGCTTCCCGCAAATAAAATGTACCGATCAGATCCTCGTCCGGCATTTGCTAATCGTCTTATTTGCAATTTTTTTGGAGGGGAACCTGTCCGCCAATATTTAATTTAAAAAAAACTCCTATTCAGTTTTGTAATTTCAGGCCAAAGTAGCAAGTCGTATTTCTTTGGCGCCACCTGGTGGCGTCTTGACGCCTAAGTGAGTTGAGGAGGTTCATTGAGACAAAGTAATCCTTTGTCACCATCATCATGTCGCATCTATCCGCAATTTGTCCGAATTTTACAAGTACAGAGTCAGAACGTTACAATAACATTTGTAATTTACCACAAGAATTAAAAATGTATTTTCAACCAAGAGCTAGCTTGCCAACTTCAACCATGGTTGACTTTCTCTCATTACTTTTTTTTACGTTACGTCGTCACCTGCTGCGGTTGCAAAACAACAACTCTTATTTTGAAAGAACTGATATCCGTTTTCAAATGCTGGAGGTAAAAGTAAAAAGTAATTAGAAAAATGATTACACAAGTACAGCATACAGTTACTTGTACTTTGTTTCTTACCTCCCAACAAGTGCACGCGCACACCACAGAGACACAAAGCCCTGAGCTACGATGCCAGTGAGTCACACCACTCAAGCGTTCATTCAGAAAGATGAAAAAAAAAAAGAAAAACGTTTTGCTTTGACGTCAGCGGCTAATTATAGCATCTCTTTGTCTTCTCCTCTGGCTGCACACCGTCTGCCTGAAGAATGAAAGAATTAAAGAAATTGCAGGTTGATGGACACATCATGATTCTCTTGAGTGTGTAATTCGTACTGGAATGTGAAGTAATGACATCAAGAGTTATTAAACCAACTGATACACGTGCACAACTTGATCTCTTTACAAAGGAGAAACTTTGATTTTTTTTTAATTATTCATCAAAAAAAAATCAAGCTGTTTAATTCCATTCCCAGTTAAAGTTGACTGCCTCACCCAACAAGAATTCACCTTGTGTCCCGCAAGCTTAATGCGAATGAAAATAGGTCAATGACATGCTAATGGTTTGCATCGATATTTGTGGTTTTCAAAGCAATAAATATTTACTCATAGGAAAATATTCTTAATCCTCTATGAAAAAAAATGACTACTAGAATAGTAAAAGTCCGATTCGTTTGTGTATGCATGACTGCATAATATTGCCCCCCAGTGGCTAAAATGGGAACACCAGAACGTGCAGCACAGTGAAATGAGTGTTAAATTTTTTTCCATTCAATTAAAATGTTGCTATTTTTTCCTTAATTAGCATTTATAATTTACAAATTAACAGTATAGATTTCTCTTAAAATTATCAATTAAAAAGTCAAAATAAAAACGAAACATAGTACCGTACATATGCTTCAAGACCAGATGACCATTTTTATCTATTGAAAACAGAGGCATTGGTGGTGGAAAGAGGAGGAGCATGGCAAAAATTGATTTTTTCATTCCATGTGATGAAAACACCAATTGCGCTTGCACTATACACAGTGTAGAAACTGTTGGATGACGACTGTTGACAGTCTTTCTTCATGAGTTTATCTATAAACAAATCACATGCAGAAAATCACCAACACAACGCCAGTAATGTTACGAAGTAATCGTGTACTATTTGCATTTGTCATATCAACCTCATTAACTCACTACGACTTACTCACTTCCTTTTAATAATGAAAAATCTGGTGTTTATAAAAACAAAAAAAAATACATTTTGTGGCCTTTTAATTCAAAAAAGGAAAAACAGATCTTCAAATTCAAATTTATGTTTATAATTTTGTGGATTTCAATCCAATGTATTTGTATTTTTATTATTTATTAGA